AAAAAAAAAAAAAAAAAAAAAAAAAAAAAGAAAAACAACACGAAAAATTTTTTTTTTTCCCCCCCGCGGCTTTTTTTTTTTTTTTTTTTTTTTTTTTTTTGGTTGCCTGAAAGGCGTGTCAATTGACATGAGTTCAAGCTTGCCGTAGCGCAGCTGCGATATTGATCCGTGAGAGAAATTGAGGTGGTGGTTGTTTGTCTGAGTGAGTTGGCATGGTGGTTGTTTGATGAGATGGTATGATGGTTCAATGAAGTGATGTGAGATAAAAGTTGGTTGATAAAATGGTATCGTGGTTGTTCGATGGTGGTTGTTCGATGTAATTGAAGGACGGTTGACTGACAGATTGGTATGGGATAATGGTTGATTGGTTGAGGTGAGATGATTGTTGTTGTTCAATGAGATGGTATGATAGTTGAGGCAAAATGATGGTTCAATGGAGTGACGTGAGATGATGGTTTTTCGATGAAATGATATGGTGGTTGTTCAATGGAGTGATGTGATGTGGTTGTTGTTCAATGTAGCTGCATGTTGTTCTGGGATGTTGACTGCTCATGGGTTAGCGACGATGAGGTGAAGGCAAGATGGGATCAAGCGGACAGTGAGGGGACTCAACGGTGTTGAGTATGCATTGGCGGCGATGGTGGCCCGCGTGATGGCTGTTGGTGGGTTAGCGACGATGAGATGATGGCAAGATGGGATCAAGCGGACAGTGAGGTGACTCAATAATGTTGAGTATGCGGCGGCGATGGTGGCCCGCGTGATGGCTGTTGGTGGGTTATCGACGATGAGGTGAAGGCAAGATGGGATCAAGTGGACAGTGAGGTGACTCAATGGTGTTGAGTATGCGTCGGCGGCGATGGTGGCCCGCGTGATGACTGTTGATGAGTTAGCGACGACGAGAAGAAACAAAGTAAGACCAGTGCAGCGATGTAATACCGTGTCGGTGATGTGTTGAATGTCCCATGATAGAGGATGGCGTGAGGGGACATGGCAGGTAAGAGATGAGGTGAGAGTTCATCCAAGTATGAAGAGTCAACAAGGTTGTGGGTAAGAGAGACCCAAAGTAAGAAAGCGTGTCAAGGTCCTGTGTGGACGCGTCAGGCTGGAGTCCATCATGATTGCAAGCAATGATAAACACAAACACAAAGTGGGATGGATTGATGAAAGGTGACAGGCCAGATGAAAGCCCAAGGTGTGGGCGGCTGTCAAGATGATGGATGGGTAAGACCCATTTTTTTTTTGGTTCAAGTCGGAGGACAGATTATGTAGGGAACCAGAGCTGTGTTAGCTAGGGAGAGAGGAGAGATGAAGAAGGAAGAAAGATTTAGGAGGGGAGAAGGAAACTGGGGGGGTTATATACTCGACTTCAAATGCGGTGTTGTGGGGCAGAATAGAATAAAGCAATATGATTGGTCGGTTTGGGGTCGGTCTTCCCCACTAACCACGTTTGTGACTGGCTTTCCCGCAATTAAGGTTGTGGACCTGCACTACGGGCCGCTGCCGTACTGCCAAGAAAAGGCTTCGATCGGGATGCCGTTGCACAAATATTGGATGCTGTGTTTCTACGTAGGCTCTGAGGCTGTATAGCTCAATTAAAACCCAGGAATTCTCGCTGTATAGTAGCGTAATCATGGAAGTCCGCATCATCTCACTCACGAAGTGAGCCCACCGCTGGGCCGCTGGGCAACAAGACGTAAACGCCGGTCGCTCTCTGCATACAACAGGGCACCGATACGTGTCCAGGCATTGCTGTTAAGCACGAGAGCTCACTGTATAATTGAGGCTCTTTAAGATGATCCCCGTATATGTATCAACGCGTAATAGATTGTTGTGCGATGCCTCCCTTCGTGGCGCGTCGCCGTTCACAAGGCCGATGGAATGAGCCCACTGCTGGTAACAAGACGTCAACACCGGCCGCTCTCCGCATACAACAGGGTATTGATATCTGTCTAGGCATAGCTGTTAAGCACGAGAGCTCACTGTGTAATCGGAGCCCCTTGGGATGATCTCCTGTCTATGTATGGACGCGTAGTCGATTGCTGGGCGATGCCTCCCTTCGTGGCGCGTTGCTGTTTACAAGGCCGCTGGAAGAGACTCAGGACTGCTCAAGTGCGATCACGTCCGGTTCAAGTACATACTGTGTGTTGGCTTGACTACGGGCGCTGGTTCTAACTGCTACGGACAGCAGGGTCCCCCAAAGCTACGAACCACAAGCCAACTACACCAGAGCGGTACGACCGCCACCCCATGACAATCAGGATCGACCTTCATGTCAGTAAGACTACTCTCTACGCGTGAGCCCCGTTCGTGTCTGCCTTCTCGGCCACGGGATGCTACTGGCGAGTACTCGTATGACTTGGTGCAGACACGCCGGCAGATCCCTCGGCGGGGATTCGCGATCACACTCAGCTCAGGCTTCCGGGTTTGGAACTGGGGGGCAATGGGGTTCTTCGGCGTGTGACCGTGCGCAGGTGAGTTCAAACGGTGCGAAGGGCTCTTCGTCATCTGAAAACACTACGTGGAGCTCTATGACACGAACGCGCTCTCTTGGGATCTCCGCGGTAGCAGGGCGGGCTAATTCAGTGGATGTGGGTGCTTCTTTCGCTGTAATTGTGATCCCCTAACTTTGAGTGGATTCAAGTGATATCACCGATCATCACTTGACCACGATTCTACGGACGGCAACCTCACATTTACGATGGGTATGCGGGGGGCAACAGACTGCTAACGGGGCTACAGCACAACAGCCGGGGTGACCGAAGCCAGGGGAGAAGAGCGCCCCGCCGCGGAGCCAACAGCAACTCTCAGCTACAATCGATGAGTTAGCGCAGCCAGATTTCTTACTTCAAGCTGTGTATATTCGCTCATAGCACTCGTCGTGATTACGCCCCACGTCCCCTTCTCATCGAAACGCGACGTACCATCCTACATTTTTTTGGCTGTACCAAGACGGAGGTGCGGCTTACTGCGAGCTTTGGATTCTATCGACCGGGCTTAGCACGTGGTTTGGGTGGATCAGCTGGTTGAGAAGACTTGGCTGTGGCATCATACGCTCGAGTCCAGGTGGTAATGGTGGTGATAAGCCCATTGGCAAAGGAGCTCCCGTTCGGGGGAAGCTTCCGGGTTGGTTGAAACTTGTTGATGGTGAAAACCTGGTCATTCCAGAGGCCTGGCGAAAGCCACCGCTCTGCGGATCGGGGACATTGAGAAGCGTGGCTACGGTTTACAAAGGCGGCGCTTCAGCTCCTTCGCTGTGAGTAGCGAACACCCTTATCATTCTGCTCCCTTGTTCTTCTGGTCTTGATCATGCTTACAGTGGAGTTTACAGTGCGTTCCTGGCATTATTCTTCGCCCGCCGACTCGATTCGAGAGCCTACTCCCGGAAGGAGCCCCACCTGACACAATAAGAGGTTTTCGGGATGGTCAGGGAACACACGGTGCCCAGGTGTGATCAAGCGCTTACGCATCCTACCAGTCTCGACATGAGGCTCTTTTTAATCCGAGTTTCCTTCAGATCCAACCGTGGCAGAGCCAAGCTCAAAAAGCTACCGATTCTCATAGCCGCAGGGCAACCATGGTTGATTCGACAGAAGCGGGAACCACACAGACATGCATCCTTGTCTCGCTTTTGAAGCCTCAACCATGCCTCATAGCGGCGACCTTGGATATTTGGAATGAAGGTGGTTTCAGGTCTCGCTCTGTGAAGGCTGCTTGTTCTGCGGAATTCGTGACAAGATGGCCCGCGGCTTGCTTCTTCTGTGTGGGTCATTGCCGAGAGCAACTTGGTTTCCTTGTCGCGAGGTGTGCACTGACTCGTAAAAGGCCCGGAATGAGCTTGCATTTCTGACAATTGGCAAAGAATGCCAGGCCCTCTGCATCGGTAAACAAGCTTTCCCTCAGGAGCCGGGGCAGAGATATCGTTGAATTGGTGCCGGTTGGAATTTCTGCTTCCTTCGTATGTATGTCCAGGCGCTCAGCTAGTTCACAGGTCCACAGGTCCACAGGTAGAGTATATCTGACACTCTAACATTACTTGTCTCTCCTCCGTACCAGAGAGGGTACTATCATTGCAGAAGAATGGTTGATTTCTCAAATAAATTCCAAGGTCATTAAAAAAGATTTTGCGACAGCGACTGCATGGTTCGACGGTTTGAAATATAAATATAATGACCAGTCTGTGCCCACAGAATATCAGCCCTGGCGAAGGGCATTCCTGATATCATTTGGGAACAAATCGTTTTCTGGTCATGTAGCCAAAGAACGGGCCCCGATTCATCAACCAGGCGGTTTGGCCGAGTGGTCTAAGGCGATTGAGTACGTTTCACCATTAGACATGGTCCACCAGAATTTTCACTAACCAATCCAACAGCTAGAAATCAATTCTCTTCGGAGGCGCATGTTCGAATCATGCAGCCGTCGTGGCAATATCTTTTTTGCCAATTCCATTTGGATCTTGGTTTTTTTTTTTTCCCCGTTGTATTACCAAGCTGCCATTGTGGTTTTGCTAGTTTCCAGGTTCCATTGCCTGGTGTGCTGTATAATGGAACTGAGCAAGGAATCCTCGGTGTTAATCAACTGGGCATTGTGCTGGGAAGACTAACATGTGGGTTTAGTCTGATCAAAAGGCCGGGGATACCCATTGCAGTAGAAATCAGATATCGATTCAGGATCTCTGCATATCAGGATCTATAGATGGTTCAGGTGTTGCGTGTGATAGATAGCACGGTGCTCAAGTGGAGATACCCCAGGACTATACGTGGAGAGCGTCCTTCTCTTCCCCTTCCTTTCTGCGTCTCCCTTCTTTTCCATGATCACCAGTTACTTACTGCATTACTTTCTTACAAACCGCAAAATCAAAAAAAAAAAAAAACGAAAAGAAAAATATATCACAAATAAATGTGAAAGAAAAAAAAGATGTGCCACGACGGCTGCATGATTCGAACATGCGCCTCCGAAGAGAATTGATTTCTAGCTGTAAGGAAGGTTAGTGAAAATTCGTGGGGAATGATTTTGTATGGTGGAACGTACTCAATCGCCTTAGACCACTCGGCCAAACCGCCTGGTTGATGAAGATATGGATCCCTTATTTTGCTACATCAGCCAAAGATGTCGAATTGCAATCTTTGTGCCACTCAAAAGCACCTGGGCAAGAATGGACAAATTTGGCTGGGTGTCTTGATCTCATCCAATTTGTGTATATTATCGATATTGTAAGTCCAACACCTAGACGTGTTTCATCGATATATATTCGCACTTGACAGCCTCGGGGTATTCGGGATTGTTGGTTTCATCCATGGAGGGCTGTCGCCATGATTATATATAATGGTCGTACTTAAGCGTCTGGTCCTGGGACCTGAGGTATACACAGCCTTGGAAGCTGCTCCATATGAATAGGACCGTGACGCAACCAAATCCCATAGAACGGGTCCTGAAGTCAGTGTCTACAAATACTCAAGCGCAGAGAATCACATAGATCGATGGGATTAGACCAGCAAGAGTATGATGAACACGCAGAATGTCAAGGTTTAGATTCAAAATAAGATAGCCCGCTTAGATGCTTTAAAAAAGATCGATCGCTATGCAGATCCCCGAATAACAGCGAGCATTTCCTCGCCCTTGGGGGCCGTAGTGAGATTCTCGTAGCCAGTAGCGGTCACAAGAATATCATCCTCAATACGGACACCTCCAATATGCACATATTTCTCCGCGACATCAAAGTCGATGTATTTGGCATAAGGTTGCTTGCGCGCATCGCCCAGAGCCAGAGGCGAGAAATACAGACCCGGCTCAACAGTGATCACCATACCCTCTCCCAACAAGGGTGCAGAAAGGGTGCAGGGCGAGAGGTAGTCGGATGCCCAATTCAGGCGACGGCGAGCACCAAGCGCCATGATTGAACCTTCGGACACATCGTGCACCTCGAGACCAACGTGATGACCCAAGCCATGTGGGAAGAAAACCTTTGAGGCGCCGGAGTCACGAATCTCGCCAACTTCGCCCTTCAGCACACCGAGGGCCAACAGTCCCTCGATTGCAATGTCATGGGCGAGACCATGAAGTGATCGATAGCGCACCCCTTTACCGACCCGGCGGATGGTCTCTTCCTGCATGCGCTCTACCAGCTTGTAGATATCTCGCACATACTTGCTGGGCCATTCGCCTGTCAATGGGAAGGTCCGTGTTACGTCACTTGCGTAGCAGTTCCATTCCGCGCCGGCATCGAGACAGACGAGCGGCTTCTTGTGGAGGGGTTCGTTATTCCGATCATAGTGTAAGACTGCTGCATTCGGCCCCGATGCGGCGATGATCTGGTATGCCTGATTGCGAGCCCCGTGCGAGATACAGGTATTCAGGAATGACCCTTCAATCTGCGACTCGTTGGAAAAGGACTTGATATTTTCTAATATCCTGCGGTGCGCAAGCCCAGAGACCCTATTGGCTTCGCGAATCATTCGAATCTCGTACTCGTCCTTGATGCCTCGCGCCGTGTCCATAGCGGGTATCAGGCTTCCAAGGTTCACGGGTAGGTCTTTGGGTAGAGTTTTGGGCAATTCCGATTCATGGATCAGGTACAACTCGCTCCCCTGCTTGCGCTCATCCAGCCATTCTTGGAGCTCGTACTTGAGCGAGGTGTGATATCTAACGTAGTCCACATCGTATCGATCCTGTGCCTCCTCCCGCGAGAGGGTAGGGCCCATCCATATGGCGCGGTGGAGGTCAAAGTCGGGTACGAAAAGAGTGAGAAGGTCTCGCTCAATATCGTAGGTTAGGGAGCAGTCGGCCTCGTCGGCTCCGCTCAGGTAGTAGAAGTAGCGCCTTTGCCGGAATGGGCGTGATTGGTCCGAGTCACGCAGGTTGATCGTGGGCTGCCCAGACAGAAAAATTAAACCCCTTGAAGCTCCAAGCTTCTGGGCAACTCTTCGCGCATGTTGCTTGGCTAGAGCGGTCAGGTCAGCCTGTGGATCGCGCCCGGTTGAATAGCGTTTAGCCTGATCCGCGACAGGGCGAAGGGAAATCCAGGCAATTCGGCCTTGCGGTGTTAGCACTGACCTGGGTATTTATCGCAGGAGGTAGGCGTATCCAGGCGGATGTTATAGGCGTCAAAGTGAATCATAGTATCAGCCAAGGGGCCAGAACCCCGAGCTTGACCTGTCGCACGCATTCTGGGACACACAAACTGAAGCGAGAGGGGTCGAAGCAAGGAGCCACGAAGAGGGGAAAAGGCAAAGGAGTTGAACCTTTCGTAGGGACTATGTACTTCGTATAAAACCAGTTCAAAGGCGAGACATCACAAGAAAGGTATGTGAACAGTGAGAAGCCCCTACTCCACCATGGGGCCGAAAGCGTCTTAGATAACCCGCCTGTTTCTATCCGCAGCCGCCCACTTATCTTCCTCTCTCTCTCTCTCATTCTCACTCTCTCACTCTCTCACAGCCTGTTTCATCTTGCTGTCTACTGCTCTCGTCTATTATCGATTACAGTCAATGAACGATGCAGGGCTCTGAGGCTTCGAGCAGTGCGCTCGCAGACCTACCTTCGACCCTGCGAACAGTGATAGGCAGCCCGACGACGTCACCGATCGGCTCACCATTACCTCTACAAACCGACCCTCTCCTCTCACAGCAACAAATACAAGAAAACCTCCAAAATGTGCTGTCTTCCTTCTCGATGGAAATCCGTCCTGAGCCTAGGCTCACCGCCAGTGGCAACTCGACCGGCTCGACCGGCAAAGGCATCCTGATTGGGATCCTGTCCGCGTTTGGCTCCGCCGCCGTCGCATTTGTTGTTCTAGCGATCTTTTTCTTTTTTAAGTATACCCGCCGGGGGCGAATTATGCTGGATCGCATTGGTCGGCCCGGTGAGTTCGACGATGAACAGGCGTTTGCGCGCGAGGAGGCTGTGGCGCTAGAGTCAATGGATGACTTAGCGCGATCGGAATACTTGCGAGCCAAAGGTAAGCCGATATTGAAATCTTTTTATGGATCGTTTGTATCACTTGACTAACTTGTCTCAGCCTTTGTTCAAGGAAACCCGCCCGAATCAGTACAAACCGACATATCACTCTCACAGTTCCTCGCAATACAAGAGAAAGGTGTATCTGCATGGGAGTTCCAGCCGGAATTGGAAATCGCAAACTGCTTTGTGGAAGGACGCACCGAGATTGAATTCTACGACTCGGAGTGCAGTGTGCAGACGAATCTGCCCATCCCCAAACAAAATGAGGTCTACTATTGGGAAGCGAAGATATACGATAAGCCCGAATCGACAATGATCGGAATCGGAGTCTCCACAAAACCATACCCTTTATTCCGGATGCCTGGTATGTACTACAATTAATGAGCCTCTTGAGACCGTGCTAACCAACTTCAGGCTTCCACAAATCTTCTGTTGCCTACCAATCAACCGGACACCGCAGAGTCAACCAACCATTCAACTCTACACCATACGGACCTCCTCTACTACAAGGCGATGTGATTGGTGTTGGATACCGACCCCGCTCGGGGACTGTCTTCTTCACCCGCAACGGAAAGAAACTCGAGGATGTGGCCCACAACTATCGATCGCAGAACCTGTTCCCTACTATTGGTGCCAACGGCCCTTGCACGATTCATGTCAACTTCGGCCAGATGGGTTTCGTCTTCATCGAAGGGAACGTCAAGAAATGGGGCTTGGCCCCCATGACTGGCAGTCTCGCCCCGCCCCCACCTTATGGGAGTGAGCAAGGCAGCATTCTACTTGAGTCTGGTCGCGAGAGCGCAGCACAAATTTCCCAGCGCGTTTATCAAAACGCAAACTACGCGGCCTCGGGGTCAAGTGTTAGGATCCCTCCAGTGCCCAGTCCGGGGCCTGCTCGATCTCCAACTGACATTTCCCTCGCTCAGCTGAACCATATACCTTCGCTGGAAGATGCTGGCGAGGGGTCCAGCCGATTTGCTCTTGGGGATGAAGAGGCCAATGTTGGTCTGGTTCGTGATGATGATGATGACCATGAGGTTCCTCCTCCAGAATATTCTAGTCCCGATGGCAGTCGGAGAGGTAGTGATGCCTCTCTTGAGTTCCCTCCCAGAGGTGCTCTTGATCAATCTGGCCCTCCAAACAATGGACCCACGGACTCCGCTGGTCAATATCTTCCCAGTTACGAAACTGTGGTTGAAAGAGATCTGAATCAACACAACTCAAGCAACCAATGATCGGCCTTGATGCATTTATATACCCTGACTACTTATGAACATAATCTCTGCATGAGAGGCTTTGTCTGATCATACCTTTGTTGTTTTATTTAGCGGGCTCACGGACGGTGTTATGGCAACTCTGGAATGCCAATTCTGAAGCTTTTTTTTTGTTTTTCTTTTGGATTTGGGCCGGAGTTCTTTTATCTCTCTCCTCGCCCTCGCAGGGTCAATGAATACGTGTATAAGGACACACTCGTTTTACTCCCCCATATTCCTACTCTCGTTAGCTGCTTTCTTTGTAACTGTCACAATCTAAGACATCTGCCTGGAATCTCTTGACTAGTATTGTCCCTAAGAATAATGAGGTCTGTTGGGTGAGTCTGAATGGCAGAAATTTCCGTATAGTCAGTGAGACACTTGACAAAGTCATTGTGAGAAAAATGTCTCAAGGCTTGAAGTGTATATCCAAGTAATTAAGTACTCAGTAGCGAGAAACGAAGATCTCCTAAAGTTGTTATTTATACACAAGTTGGCCCCCACCAAGATCGCCAAGACTTACACTTCGAAGCTTTGTTCTCTCTTCCTCGTCCAAAACTTCTCTTGTACTCTGTAAACATCGTGTCTCTCGCTAAACCCCAGATCTTCATTGCGTTACCGTGGCTCCGATACGATCGTACTCCACTAGCCCCAGTCTGCTCCACCCTGTGTGTCTCCGAAACCTCATCTCTCGCAACGATCAATCGCCACTCCACATCTGCACCTGCACGTCGCGTGCATATGTGGCTGTCCAACCGCAGGCTGTTGTGATACGAGCTAGGATCCCTTTCCAACCCCCCTCAGGTTTCTCCAGTCTGCACTTTGCCGACCAGCCTCCGGAATCCTGTTGCGGATTTGCGCTTCTCCCCGAGAACACACAGCCGTTGAGACGGAATCATTTTTTTCTCTCTCGCTTGTATGACGCACATCTTGTGAGATATTTGCGAAGAGATCATCTACCAGTCCAGACCACAAGCCGTGCGCGGTAAATTCGTCGCACACGTGTTATCTCTTGTTATCTAGCCGCTTCTCAAGTTCCGTCAAAGATTGATCTACTTTTGTGTGAGACAGCTTGTTACTGAGACCCGAGATCAATCTTCCTGGTTGAACAGCTCTGAACCAGTGCCATGTCTCATGATTCAGAAACCAAAAAGATGAAAAAGAACGACAAGCCCGCATTCCACGTCATTGTCTTGGTAAGTCGCTGATTTGTTCTGCAGAAACCCGTCACGTGGAAGCCATGTGTTGATTTCGATGCCCATCCTGAGTATTGTCATCTCAATGTCTCTGACGGGTTCTGACAGAGACATCCCTGCAGCCGCACTATTTCCCACTTCGGATGCTGATTGTGATAGGGCCCGACGGGTGGACCCCGTGAAGATAGCGTCACCGGCATTCTGGTCCGCTCGACCTCAACAGACTGGGCCCCAGAGTCGGTCGTGGCTGTTGATGCAGGTACCCTTCTAGCAGGGATTATCCGATTACTGGAGCGGTATATGCCAGATTGCACGAATGAAGAGGGTGTCATGACAAGTGGGCCCTTTCAGGGGCTCGAGTTGCCGAACAAAACTCCACAGGCAAACGGAGCACACGTTTTCCGCGAACTCATCGGTAATGTCCTAATTACACATCCTCATCTGGACCATATTGCCGGGCTTGCGATCAATACCCCGATCCTGGAGGCCGGTAATGGTCCTAAATCCGTGGCGGCTCTCCCTTCGGTATTGTCCGCTATCAAGAATCACATGTTCAATGATGTGATTTGGCCAAATTTGTCGGATGAAGATGGCGGAGCTGGCCTACTCACATATCAGCGCTTGGTGGAGGGTGGAAACCCTCGATTTGGCCGTGGCGAGAGTCGAGGCTATGTTAGAGCCTGTAATGGGCTGTTGACCAAGTGTCTTAGCGTCAGCCACGGCCGATGCAAGCAGCGATACCATCCTGAAACTGGGACACACCATCGTATTGGGAGCACCGTCTTTGCAGAGCATCAATTGATGCTTCCATCCAGGGCGATATCGGTAGATCATACCGATGCAAGGTAAGTCGGAATTCTCAACCCTCAATCGAACTATGTACTGACCATCGCCAGCTTCTACTCACCAGCTCGATCCCCGCGCATTCTTCCATCTAGCACCAAAGAGCCTCCCATGGCAACAGTAGAAAGCTCAGCTTTCTTCCTGCGCGACCACCGCACTGGCGATGAGATCATAGTCTTTGGTGACGTCGAGCCAGACTCCGTATCCCAAGAAGGGCACAACAAACTTGTCTGGGAAGCTGCCGCACCAAAAATAGCAAGTGGAAAGCTACGAGCGATCTTCATTGAATGTTCCTACAACGACAGCATAGACGACAGATATCTATACGGGCACATGTGTCCACGACATCTCGTCTCCGAGCTCAGCGTGCTAGCAAACAAAGTCATGAACGTGCGCGACGGAAACATAGGCGAGAAAAAGCGCAAGCGTGACTCAATGTTCCCCGCCGAGCTTGGCAGTGAGCAAGTGAGTCCGCGTTCGAAGCGGAATCAGAGTACATCTGGTGATAGGAATGAGCCCCGATCCCATCCTGCCGATTATTTTGAGATCCCTCGCATACCCCGGATTGGTGCTCCGGATTATGGGGATGGTGGTGACCATGCTGATGTGTTGGATGCGCCGGATCCTGAATCTTGGGTTGATACAAACCCCCTTCCATTGGAGGGATTGAAGGTCTACATCATTCATATCAAGGAGAATCTTACTGATGGCCCTCCGCCAGGAGATCAGATTCTCAAGGAGCTCAAGGAACATGGTGAAACGGCGCATCTGGGATGTGAATTCTTTATTCCTAATCCCACCGAGGGCATTTGGATATGATTGACAACAAGGAGATTATCATGCGGAGGTTCTTGTCTTTTTTCGTTTTTCTTTACAGCGTTGAATTAACCTCTGTATAATAGATAGGTTTTTGTTTAGCAAACAGTGATTTTGACTCATTTACACCATGAAGTATACGCAGGATTGGAATAAATTCACATTCGAACCCATGAGCTATGTTCGTTGTATGGTATAAGGCACTCCATTGTATATGGAATTAAGAACACAGTATAATTTCCCCACTGCCACAAGATTCACATCTTGTACATCGTCATATTAAACGACATGCAGTTTCCAACATCATAAATACCCCCATGCTTATCCCCACTATCAGTATCACAGTTATTAGCAAGCTGCCCAACATAATCCACACACTCATCATGCGAGATCTTCATATCACCATCACAGTCATTCAAATTGAGCGTGATAGTACACATATTATCACTCTCCCCCATCCCCGTATAATCCTGATGGAATCCATCCCAGGTATTCGCCTCAGCATTCGTACAGAACCCATCAACTGCACCAGAGCTACTGCCATCTCCATTAAGAAGTTCAACAGGCCACGATGGCCCATCGCCTCCCTTGCAGCTAAGCTTGGATTCGGATGTCACGCTCAGACTGAAGATATAGCATTTGTCCGTTGATACTGAGCCGCCATGCTTGTTGCCGCTGTCTGTGTCGCAGTCGTTGGCAAGTAGGTTCATGTACTCTTTGCAGTAATCTGCTGAGATTTGTCCGTCGTAGGGTGCTTTGCAGCCTTCCTGTGTGGAGACTTCCATTACGGCTTTGGGGTCGCCGGCATATTCGCCGTCGAAGGTTTGCTTGTAGGGCCAGTCTGTGTGGCTGGCGGCTTTGATGCAGAATTTGTCTAGGTTTCCGGATTGAGATCCCTCTGTGTTGAGGAGGGAGACGGGGTAGGTTGCTCCATTGCCGCCTGTGCAGGACTTTGTGGTTGTTGGAGAGGCAGAGCTGCTGGTTGATGAAGATGTACTCGATGAGCTGGTTGTTCCTGAGCTTGAGCTTGAGCTTGAAGTGCTTGAAGTATCCGAGGTCGAGGTTGTTCCTTGGGTACTTGTTGGGGTGCTACTGGGAGAAGCACTAGAAGAAGCACTGGAAGAAGCTGTGGATGAAGTGGCAGTCACAGAGCTACTGGATGCGGGGCGACTGCTTGTTGTCAACGTACTACCCGGTGTGGAAGTTGTATCCGGGGCATCAGGTATGGGGTCCGTGAGCGTGGCGAATGGGCTTGCTGTGACAGCAATGGTACAGGCCGAAGGGGTTGTAGTGGCCAAAGTAGATGTTGAAGAGGGCGTGGCACTGCAGCCGGTTACCAGAGATGTACTAGTGGTACAGCTTTTGCTGTACAGCGGGGTTCCGGAACTTGTGCTGGTTGGAACAGGTGTACAAGACACCCAGCTGTCGGTCACTGTTTTGGTAGTACACTCCGAAGAGGCGGTTGTTGTTGTATCTGTCGCGGTGACACTACAACCGCTCTCCACGGAGGTGCTGGTGGTGCAGCTTTCTGTGAGAACTGGTGTACCAGATGCAGTTCCACTCGTGACAGATGTACATGAGGCCCATGTATTTGTCACAGTCGAGGTAGATGTGCATGATGTCTCAGTTGATGAAGGCTGAGAAGCTGTAGACTCGGGTTCAGGAGTTGGAAGCATGTCTGAGCCGATGGTAATCGTTGGCCAATTCGTGATAGGAGGATCCGGTGGGGGAGGATAGATACCCGGATCCGGACCTGGAAAAATGTCAGCAATAGTCTTATGAGGCAATTGTTTTCATTAGAACTTACCAACGCCCCAAGCAAAGAGTCCACCGCCGCCACAGAACCAGCAGTGCCATAAGAACGGAACTTCGGTATGGTGGCCATCTTCATCAGTTGTCTCGATGAGAGTGTTCTTGGTTACCCCAGTCACTGTACTCACTGAAGAGGTGGACAATGAGGTTATAGTAATTATCGGAAGAGGGGTCTCTGACGACGCGCTACTTCCAGGGGCATTTGTAGAACTGGAGTCCTCCGTAGTGGAGGTGGTAGATGGTGGAGGGGTTTTGGATCCCGAAGTTGATGGCTCAGGTTGAGATGTGCCCGGGCTGGAAGATCCAGGCGTGGAGGATCCAGGCGTTGAGCTGCTTGGTGTGGTTGCTGGTAGCGATGAATCTTGTGTAGATGACCCAGGAGTGGACGTGCCAGGCGTGGAAGATCCTATTACAGAAGATCCAGGGGTAGTAGATCCAGGGGTAGTAGATCCAGGGGTAGTAGATCCAGGTGTAGTAGATCCAGGTGTAGTAGATCCAGGTGTAGTAGATCCAGGTGTAGTAGATCCAGGTGTAG